ATTTTGAGGTTGAAGGCTTTTCGTTGTCTTTTTAAGATATTCCTTTTGCACTAAAGTACAACGTTTTACTTCCTCTCGGACAGTGTTTTGTAATTAGTCATATATAATTGACCATATGGAAAACGAGCATAAGGCTGGGATCGAATGAGCACCTAAAACGATCCATGTTTTTAAAAATCTGTTTTCAACGTAAGAAAGATTACATCTAAACTAGTAAATTTGTTGAATTTGAGTTTCAAAAATTGAATATCAGCAGAGTTACGAGCATTTTAAATGTAACAAAAAACGTAAAAACCAGGCTGGTAAGACGTTCATTCAAACCTTAGCAATATCAAACTTCTGCAATTTTTGGTCCATAAATGCAAGGGAATTGAGACTCTCAGATAAAACTCATTACAGTATGTTCCTTCAAAGGATAGTAATGATTATATTATACAACTATTTTTCAAGGTTTCAAAACCATATATATAGCGTTTATGCATTAGCCATGCCCTTTTTCATATGGTCTATATGGATGCTGATGATGACATCAAGACTGTAAAATACTTACGAACTTTGCTGGCCAAGACGTTACGATAGGTAAGACCTGGGTATTTTTCCTTACAGAAGGCGTCAAGTACCTCTCCACATTCACTAGATATAAGGTTACCAGATAGGTCTAGAAAGTCTAGATTACTGGAAATGTGATTGATCATGTGCACCACTCCAACATCAGTTATTCGATTGCCAGAGAGGTCAAGCTTGGTTAACTTAGTTTCTGCCAAATAGTTAAAAATAACCATCACACTCTCATCGTTTAATTGGCAGTAAGATAGAATCAATGTAGAGATACTGCAGTTTGAATGGATGAGAGATGATAGCAATCTGCGAAGACCAGACCTAGTAAACGATGACAGGAAAATACTCAATACGTGTGGCGGTGATGATATTGATGTAGCAGTGGATTCTACTAACATAGCGAGTGCATCACAGTCCGTGTCGGTTACACCAAGTAATACAATCTCCCCATCACTAGACCAGTATCTGTAGTCACGGTTTGTATTTAGTTCTTGTCTTGTAAAACGTTTGTCTTGACCAAACTCGTGCAGGCATCGCAATGACACCAGTCTTAGTCTGTCTTCACCTTTAATGTGTTTACCTAGACACTCTAGTAGTTCTACCATTAATTCATTATTATYATTYAAACCTAACAAACCGCTYATGAATGTGTACACCATTTCAGTGCTTTCTTGTGCCGCCATTACACCTTTCCTCACCAAATATCCAGCAACAAAAAACTCTTGAATGGTGAAGTGCGTGAAGCTGTATTCACAGATTGATTTTTGAAATGGCAAATTATTACTTGAAACAGGATAACAAAATATAAGATTACTAGATTTTATGTACAATAATTCATTTTCTGATAATTTTAGATTTTCTAAGTCTTGTAACGTAAAACTAAATCTCTTTTGTTTGGCTAAAAGAGCCGCTAACTTTGAAAAATTATCGAGCGTTTTGTCAACAGCCAACGAAGCTGCTTTGTCATCTAAACTAAGTATTGCTCTATTGTAATTCTTTTCTATACATAGAATTACTTGAAAATAAAACTCTGTAAGAGTGAGAGGACATGAATTATCGTGTTTTTTGATTTTCCACTCGATGAACACGCACATCAACAAACAACGGAAAGGGACGCGACCAAATGAAATGTAGTGCGCGCTTTCTTTAACCTTACTAAGTGCTATGATTTTTACTTCTTCTGGTTTTGTACTGAAA